CGCTTCGCGACTCGGGCAATTTTGGAAAATTTTGAAAACACTCGTGCAATTAATCCTTAATAGTACTCGGCCTCATGTGATTACCTATACGAATTGTACGACACGAGGTCCAATTACTAATTAATCGTATCTATAATAATTTCGGACTTAAAAATGCCTTTGGGAAGTTCTTTTGAGCAAAAACGTCTGTACCGCTTCTCATAAGTTTTGAAAACTGTAGGAAACATTGGGAAGGAAGCCATTAATTACAAAAAGTTCAAATTGGATACCTGTAATTGGACACCCACGTGATCGCGCGCCGATTACGTGACAAATAGGCACGCGGAGAACCAATCACGATCGAGAATTTTGTTATAGATACGATTACTCATTAGAAGTAAAAAAACACTCGTTGAATCCCGGTGTTGTTCAAAATAAGTTATTCGGTCTCTTTTAAAATTGGTTATGGCGTCATTACGTTGCTATGGTTACTTAGATCCCGGTAAAACGCACCTCAAATGAGACTTCTGTCTTTCTCTAGTGCACCAATAAGGTTCGATTTTTTTTGTTGGATTGATCATGGTGTTGCTCTAATCGTTCAAAGTTGAGCAGTATCCTTTCTCAAAAAGTCGATCGAGCCACCTTAACTTAGATCAAATACGTCAACGATGATACAGGTGATATTTGTGTTCCTTTTTCTGTCCTAGGGATTTTTCGGATGTGTGGCCTCTTCTGGCGTCAGCCTTTGAAGTTGACCGCTTGTTGAAAAGAACCTTTCTACACGCAGTTCCTGTTTGGCGGCTACGCGATATCGTTTCAACAAGAATGTTCCACGTTGCAGATCTGTGCGTCGCTTTGATCGAATTCTTACCTCGTGGTTTTTTGTACAAGGAAGAGGTAGTTATCAATGATCATTGAAACGTTAACACGTGATGTATTTAAGAAATAGAAAACATGTACCGTGTTGTCATCGAGTTTTATTATAAATCTACTAGCTTTCTACCACGAATGTTGTTCTCTGATTGGCTACGCTACCCACTTTCCATTCAGATTCCACGTTGCCGTGCGTCTGTTCAGTAATAGACAACAGAAGACGTCAAAATGTGGTAAGAACATCAGTGACACACTCGGCTATCACCTCGTGTGCCACTTTTTTGTTCTTACCATATTTCGACGTCATCTGTTATCTATTACTGAACAGACGCACGGCAACATGGAATCTGTTTGTTAAATGGTGCACGCGGGAGGTTGCTAAGCACGGAAGAAGCGTAAGAGTCGCACGAGGCGATTGTCGAGTGCGACTCTAGCTTCTTGAATGCTTAGCAAATCTCCCAAGTGCATTCATAACTCGACAGTTGCACGCTGCACGCTTATCATTTCTTTTATAACGTTGAAACTTTTTAAAAACATTTTTTTATTGATTCTCGCCCTGCTTACATGAGGTCAAAAGCACGATCAACCGCGCGAAAATGTTTATTCAAAATCTGACTAAGCGACACAACAACATTTTTGTTGGATCACGGTCAGTTAGTTTATCTTTTCTCGATCTCGGTCCCGGTATCTCGGCCAATTAAACAACTTTAAACTGCTCAGTTAACCTAAATATCAAGCTAACAACAAACGAAAATTGCTGGCGGAAAAAGCGTTTCTCAAAAGTTCGTAAAATTTGGATCGGTTTTCCCAAGAATTGAAAACAAACTTTTGGTGGTTGAGCTCTCTGTCCTTCATGTGGAGGCGGCGTGGCCGAGTGGTTTAGGGTGTTAGATTTGAAATCTGGAGGTCCCTGGTTCAAATCCTCCACCCTACCGCTATCTGGATTTGTTCTCGGTAGCCCCGAGTTCAACTCCTCGGCCGCGTTGTGTAAATAGTCAACTGGTCAGCCTCCAACGAGTTGGGATTCTTACTAGTTTATGTTATATTTGAAAGATTTGTTTATTTATTTACAGTGTCACCAATTAGCACATTTAATAGAGCTAAATACATTTGATACTTAAATAAAGTTATTATTATTTCTCTTTGGCAAAAGAAAAGAACACTATGGAACCGGACATTTGTTAATTGAACACATGAATGACTTTAAAAAAAATGATTTCTGTTACTTTCGTTATTTGGTAAAATAAGGTTTACTGAACAGAAAACTGAGGCTTGGAGGAAAATGGTAAGTTCAGTTGAGCTTATTTAGTAAAATAAGCTTAACTGAACAGAAAAATGAGTCTTGAAGGAAAATGTTAAAAACGCAAACTTACATTTGTGTACGATGCAGTCTTTCCTTCAAACGGCTGTTCCTTCAAGAGTTCAATTCACGTTCGAGCAAAACTGAAACCCGGGCCGTCTGAAATAATTCATCAGAGGCTACCAATATTTGATAAAACTTCCTTTATTAACGTTCAGTGAAAAGATTGTCTTTAACGTTTTTGGAACAGAAGAATTTCGTATGTAAGGCTTCACTTAATACAGAGATTTGGTGAAACTCTCATGTAAAGGTCTTGCTCGCCGAAAGCATTTTAAATATGGCTTTTGACGCCAGAAAAGTTTTACAATGAAAGCTTGTGCTGAATTTTGTTGTCGCCAAATCGCTGAAAAATTCTCTCTAAAATTCCCGCTGAGCATTACTAACCTCGAAAGGTTGATGGAGACCAGTTTGTTCAGTGTTTTGTTGGTCCGTCTCCGAGTGCTGAGTGCCCATGTTCAACCAGCTGATTCATCTCCTGCTCGTTCAAATTTAGCAAATCTCTTTGGTGGAGGCCCGGCAAAAAACTTGAGCTCGAAATTTGGTGGCTCATAGGAATAATCTTCAACATCTCCGGAAGAATTATTAGATTTTTCCATATTTTAGAAGAGGTAAAATAGGAATTATGTGTTAAAAAGTGCAACGTCGATGAAAAAATTGCCGAGAAAAAGTGCAAATAAACAAACTTTCGTCAGCGTACAACCCGCGGGCAAATGGATCGAGCGTATTAGCCAATCAGAACGCGCGCTTTGGTAAGGCTATGTTAAGGCTATAAACTCTGACAGGACCATATCACCTAGGTGATATGCTTCTGACTCCGATTGAAAGAATATCCACAATTTCATGCATAGTGATCTTGTTGTACTCGTTCGTGGAATTGTACGTTCTGTTTGATGTTGCCTTTTTTCCCCTATTTTTTTGCTCAGGAAAGTAGTATCGAGCAGTGTCTTCAAGCCATGATCAACCTGTTGGACAATGGGAATGAAACAAACAGGTGACTTTACAGAACTTAATTCATTGTCAGAACGCAACTTTGGGGAAACATTAACAATGACCATTAACAGTGACCTTTCTTCTTTCATCGCTCCTGTCCTACAATTAGACAAAACTAGGCTGGAGGCTAACTCGAAGACCTGACGTATCATTTAGCCTCTAAGATCATTAAAACAAGATTACAACAGTTGTCTTATCTGAAATATACAACATATATTAAATATCCTAAAAATGTAATAATATTTTAAATAAAGTTGTTGCTGTTGTTCATTTATATAACAGTCTCAATATAAGATTTTTCAATTTCCATGGCGTCATATTTAAAAAAGGATTAAAACGTATTTGTTGCTCGAAACCTCGTAACGACATTAGTGCGTCGATTACTCGGATTTGGAGAGCCAGTGGCTACTCAACATCAGGAGCCTATCATTAGGAGCGCGCAATTACCCCATATTCCTGTCACGGCGTTTTCACAGAGCGATCTATTTCTAGTCTGAATTTACCGCGAATTCAGACCACCGCAGGAACCTCAGTGACCACTTACTAGCACGGACTTGATTTTCAACTGACGTCATCATTTCACTGGAAGAATTAATGGGCTCCTGATGTGAGGTAAGACTTTTTTTCGTTACCGATGCGCGCTCATTTAGACCGGAGCTGACCTATTTCGCTGGAAAAGAAGCCTAAAAATAGACCGGTCTGTAAAAATGCCGTGACATAGGCTTAGTATGGGATTTGCACGCTCATAGTGACGAACTCCTGTCTATATTCATTATTCATTATTCCTCTTCAGAAAAACTTAGTTCTTCTTGTCTCAAATCTCTTCTCTCCATCACTGTGTAATATCGCAGAGCGAAATATAGAAAGTTTTATGGTCTCTTTCTGATAGTTCCAAAGCGGACGTCGTAGAATTTACAGTTTCTTCAAGTTTGAAGTTGGCCGAGGTTTGCCTAGAAAAGCTTTCTTTTCGAGAAAATATTGATGTCATCTGTCTGGCAATCAAGCTGCTATTCTCAAGCATTCAACAGTGGCAAAGTGATCCATTAGACGGTGAAAACAATGACAAGGTAAACAAGACTGACGTTGAAAGACTGAAGAAGAACTGCGTACGTGAAATTTCGGAAAAACTCGTCAGCAAGCTCAAACGGATATTTTATTCCGACATGCCAGACAATTACCAGAGTGATGCCCTTAAAAGGGAACTGCAGGTATGGATTATAATTATGCAGTGGTGCCTTAATCCCAGTAAATAGAGCGGTTTTTTCAGTAAGCCTGTTTGTTCAAAACCAAATCAAGTTTGTCCAGGATTATTTTATTTTCAGTTTTTACCCAGTTTTAATATTCATTGTCTGATTAAAGGGAGGAGAGTTGATTTCACCCCTTGGCTCCTTTTATCTTTCACTTCTTGTTGACTGTCAGTGAATCTGCTGACTAGTGTATAAGGCTTTCACAGTCGCTTGCACACGAAAGTTGTTGAGGTGGAGCAGATACAGTTAATTCACCAAGTGATTTGGTTTAGTTGCAATGTATCTTGTTCGCGGATCATTTAGACGGTCGACAGTGTATGTTTTTTTTTTGTACATAAAACCCACACTTTTCAACCAGTTCAAAAGAAGCTTAGTTTTGAGCACCTTTACCCAGGTCTAACATGTTGACTGACTACACAGGGACACACGCTACAAATGATCTCACATGATTCGGTTAATGATCCTCTTTCGAGGCCTGGTCTGAGCTTCCACTAACGATACTACATTTAGGAAATAACACACTGGCTGTGGGTAAAATTTGGGTGGCAGGGA